TGATGTCTAACAATGTCCAACACATGTGAAGTGATGTCTAACAATGTCCAACACTTGTGAAGTGATGTCTAACAATGTCCAACACATGTGAAGTGATGTCTAACAATCTCCAACACATGTGAAGTGATGTCTAACAATCTCCAACACATGTGAAGTGATGTCTAACAATCTCCAACACTTGTGAAGTGATGTCTAACAATGTCCAACACATGTGAAGTGATGTCTAACAATGTCCAACACTTGTGAAGTGATGTCTAACAATCTCCAACACTTGTGAAGTGATGTCTAACAATCTCCAACACATGTGAAGTGATGTCTAACAATCTCCAACATGTGAAGAATTGATGTCTAACAATGTGAATGTGAGTGATGTCTAACAATGTCCAACACACACTTGTGAAGTGATGTCTAACAATCTCCAACACATGTGAAGTGATGTCTAACACAATGATGTCTAACCAAACAATGATGTCCAACACTTGTGAAGTGATGTCTAACAATGTCCAACACATGTGAAGTGATGTCTAACAATCTCCAACACATGTGAAGTGATGTCTAACAATCTCCAACACACTTGTGAAGTGATGTCTAACTCCAAACTTGTGTTAAGTGATGTCTAACAACACTTGTGAAGTGATGTCTAACAATCTCCAACACATGTGAAGTGATGTCTAACAATCTCCAACACATGTGAAGTGATGTCTAACAATGTCCAACACTTGTGAAGTGATGTCTAACAATGTCCAACACATGTGTCAATTACTGCATATTCTATTTTTGAGAGGTACAGAAAAAAAAAAATTATGATTTCATAAATGGAATCGTTCATGTTACCGTGCAGTATTGATTTGTAGTCACAATCAGTCACACTGCTTACATAACGGGAATTGTAAACTCCAATATAACCAACATGTGTGCATCAACAACAGCAACAACAACCCAACAACAACAAAACGTGTGTATTCTCATATCACGCAGATATGTGGTTTCTAATATCAGCCAGATATGTATTCTAATATAACTGAGATGTGTGTATTATAATATAAACTCTGTGTTTTTTTTCTAGCATAACCCAAATGGGTGTTTTCTAATGTAACCTAGATGTGTTTATTCAAATATAATGTACATGTAAGTATTCCAATAGAACGTAGATGTGAGTATTCCAATATAACGTAGATCTGAGTAAGTATTTGAGTATGAAGTAGATGTGACTATTCCAGTATAACGTAGAAGTGTTTATTTTAGGAAAAACGTAAATGTGTTTATTCCAATAAAACGTAGATTTGTTTATTCCAATTAAACGTAGATGTGATTATATCGATTAAGCGCAGATGTGTTTATTTAAAAAAAAACGTAGCTGTTTTTATTCCACACACACACACACACACACACACACACACACACAAAACACACACACAAACGTAAACTGAGTTTTCGAATATAAGCTAGATGTGAGTATTCCAATTTAACTTTGATGTGAGGATTCCAGTATAACGTAGATGTGAGTATTTTAAATAAACGTAGATGTAAGTATTTTAATATAACGCAGATGTAAATATTTTAATATAACGTAGATGTAAGTATTTTAATATAGCGTAGATGTGAGTACTCCAATATAACGTAGATGTGAGTACTCCAATATAACTTAGATGTGAGTACTCCAATATAACTTAGATGTGAGTACTCCAATATAACTTAGATGTGAGTATTCCAATAAAACTTAGATGTGGGTATTTCAATATAATGTAGATGTGAGTATTCTAATATAACGTAGATGTGAGTATTCCAATATAACGTAGGTGTGAGTATTTTAATATAACGTAGATGTGAGTATTCTAATATAACGTAGATGTGAGAATTTTAATATAACGTAGATGTGAGTATTCCAATATAACGTAGATGTCAGTACTCCAATATAACTTAGATGTGAATATTCTAATATAACGTAGATTTAAGTATTTCAATATAACGTAGATGTGAGTATTTCAATATAACGTAGATTTAAGTATTTCAATATAACGTAGATTTAAGTATTTTAATATAACGTAGATGTGAGTATTCCAATATAACGTAGATGTGAGTATTTTAATATAACGTAGATGTGAGTATTCCAATATAACGTAGATGGGAGTATTCCAATATAACGTATATGTTAGTGTGCTTGCGGGAAGAAAGAAAAGGGAAAAACATGGAAGTACGGGAGATAAGGAAAATAGTGATAAGACAAAAAGTAACAGTTCCCCGCGAATCAGCAAAAACAGAAAAGTAAAGAAAAGACAAGGGTTCTTCCGCGCAGGGATCCTAGAATATTCCACCAAAACCCGGACAAGGGTTATTTGAACAACTCTATGTTACACACACTAAGACACAAAATGGCTATACACACCTAGACGAACCGCGTGCACGAACTACCGATCCTAAATTGAATCAAGCAAATGAATGTTAATCATCACATTAAACAGTTGTTTGTTTTACTGAACTCAACACAAAATTACCGCATACTTCACAAAAAATACATCAACAACTACTAAGGTGCTCGGCCAGAATCTAAAGTGCTTATCATCTTCAGCTAACAAGGAAATATTATAATGAACGTATACGCTCAAATGACCTCAACAGTGGCAAAAAACGAAACATGTTAAACCTGGACGTTAAGCTTAAGTATATCACCAGACCAGTACATCACTTATAGCGACCTGCAATCAAACTATCACCGAGCGAGGATACACACTGATATATCTAATCACACAGCTTAACTTTTAGAGACAAATTCAGAGCTAACTACAGAACATAGCACCATCGCAATCATGAGCCGGACTCTCTATCTCGACTCGGTTAATTGCATCTGCATCGAGATGCCGCCATGCGCTTCCAGCATCAACGACACAGGGCAATTGACAACTCCTAGCCTGGCCACACGCCAGAGAGAGTCTGCCCAGCAAAGTACAAGCCTTTTTATAAACTCGGCGGACCTTCAGTTCGCCAGACTTGTTCGCATTTGTAAATCAGACTGAATCAAGTTGAATTCGTCCAAGCTCGCTTACATGAGCATCTCAATACAAAGTAGATGTAAGTATTGTAATTTTACCTGGTGAAAGTCTTCTTATGTAACCCAGCTGTATATCCTTTTAAAACCCCCAGCTGACAGAACCCTGTTGGGTGGGACAGACATATTTAGTGAAGGCAGCTGGGAGTGGTCTAGCAACGGGAACAGCCTCTACCCATTGGTTGACTGGGCGCCTGGTGAGCCTAATGGCAAGACAGGTAAGTTAGGCCACGCCCCTCAGACATGGAGGCCAAAAATGTAATCAGAAATACACACGCACACACAAACATACACACACACACAAAATTATATATATATACACACTTACACACACACACAAAATTATATATATACACACATACACAAAATTATATATATACACACATACACACACACAAAATTATATATATACACACATATACACACATACACAAAATTATATATATACACACATACACACACATACACAAAATTATATATATACACACATACACACACACATACACAAAATTATATATATACGCACACACACACATACACAAAATTATATATATACACACACATACACAAAATTATATATATATACACACAAAATTATATATATACACACATACACACACATACACAAAATTATATATATACACACATACACATACACACACAGACGATGTGGACTTCAAATCAAAGAAACATTTTTGAGCGGGAGGGTGAGAGTGGGGGTGAAATTATTCTGAGAAAGTAAATAAGAAATGTATGAGTTTTCTATGTAGTCATCACTGTGTTCTATGTAGTCACCACTGTGTTCTATAAAGTCAGCACTATGTTCTATGTAGTCACCACCGTGTTCTATGTAGTCATCACTGTGTTCTATGTAGTCACCACCGTGTTCTATGTAGTCATCACTGTGTTCTATGTAGTCATCACTGTGTTCTATGTAGTCACTACTGTGTTCTATGTAGTCATCACTGTGTTCTATGTAGTCATCACTGTGTTCTATGCAGTCATCACTGTGTTCTATGTAGTCATCACTGTGTTCTATGCAGTCATCACTGTGTTCTATGTAGTCACCACTGTGTTCTATGTAGTCTCGACTGTGTTCTATGTAGTCATCACTGTGTTCTATGCAGTCATCACTGTGTTCTATGTAGTCATCACTGTGTTCTATGCAGTCATCACTGTGTTCTATGCAGTCATCACTGTGTTCTATGTAGTCATCACTGTGTTCTATGTAGTCATCACTGTGTTCTATATAGTCATCACTGTGTTCTATGTAGTCATCACTGTGTTCTATGTAGTCACCACCGTGTTCTATATAGTCATCACTGTGTTCTATGTAGTCATCACTGTGTTCTATGTAGTCATCACTGTGTTCTATGTAGTCATCACTGTGTTCTATGTAGTCATCACTGTGTTCTATGCAGTCACCACTGTGTTCTATGCAGTCATCACTGTGTTCTATGCAGTCATCACTGTGTTTTATGTAGTCATCACTGTGTTCTATGTAGTCATCACTGTGTTCTATGTAGTCATCACTGTGTTCTATGTAGTCATCACTGTGTTCTATGTAGTCATCACTGTGTTCTATGTAGTCATCACTGTGTTCTATGCAGTCATCACTGTGTTCTATGCAGTCATCACTGTGTTCTATGCTGTCATCACTGTGTTCTATGTAGTCACCACTGTGTTCTATGTAGTCATCACTGTGTTCTATGCAGTCATCACTGTGTTCTATGTAGTCATCACTGTGTTCTATGTAGTCATCACTGTGTTCTATGTAGTCATCACTGTGTTCTATGTAGTCATCACTGTGTTCTATGTAGTCATCACTGTGTTCTATGTAGTCATCACTGTGTTCTATTTAGTCATCACTGTGTTCTATGTAGTCAACACTGTGTTCTATGCAGTCATCACTGTGTTCTATGTAGTCACCACTGTGTTCTATGTAGTCATCACTGTGTTCTATATAGTCATCACTGTGTTCTATGTAGTCATCACTGTGTTCTATGCAGTCATCACTGTGTTCTATGTAGTCATCACTGTGTTCTATGTAGTCAACACTGTGTTCTATGCAGTCATCACTGTGTTCTATGTAGTCATCACTGTGTTCTATGTAGTCATCACTGTGTTCTATGTAGTCATCTATGCAGTCATCACTGTGTTCTATTTAGTCATCACTGTGTTCTATAAAGTCATCACTGTGTTCTTTGTAGTCATCACTGTGTTCTATATAGTCATCACTGTGTTCTATGTAGTCATCACTGTGTTCTATGCAGTCATCACTGTGTTCTATGTAGTCATCACTGTGTTCTATGTAGTCATCACTGTGTTTTATGTAGTCATCACTGTGTTCTATGTAGTCATCACTGTGTTCTATGTAGTCATCACTGTGTTCTATGTAGTCACCACTGTGTTCTATGTAGTCACCACTGTGTTCTTTAAAGTCACCACTGTGTTCTATAAAGTCACCACTGTGTTCAATGCAATTCCTTTATCGCCGATAAAGTGCTTGGATTTCTATAGAGAACGAACAAGCTCTCTTCGTGGCTCTTGTGACCATTCACGCAGTAACCCTTCCATGGAGCAAACATTCTTTGCTTCCAGACAGATGAGAATAACATGGGGCAAACATTCTTTGCTTCCAGACAGATGAGAATAACATGGGGCCAGGTCGGGCTAGCTCGGAGAAGGATGTGGTATGTCAGAAAGCTCTTTAAAGGCAACGACTCGTTGGCAACTCCATGACAGAGGTGTCTATCCTTAAACATAACTAACCCAACACTGTTAGAGCAAACACATCAGCTTTTCATGTCATTACAAATTACAGTTCACTCCAGAGACGGTTCGCGTTACTAACCCCGCCACGCACTTGCCGGGGTGCTTTACAATCTCCACCCACACACTGGCTTCACGGTTGCTAACCAGATCCGAACCAATAGTCTCCGATACAAGCTCTTTCCCGAGCTCTTGCAAGCTACACCTCAACCGTGGTGGCTCTGCACGGCTTTGGGTAGTGTGGGCATACAAACCATGTCACTGCTCTGAGTCGCCTGAATGCAGTGCAAACGACATCTTCATGACTTTTTTCTTAAACGGACAATGCGTCGTTTAGAGCCTTCTTGCTAAAATAGAGATTACTAATCGGGTGAACAGTACTTTAACCAACAAGCACTAATCACACTGAACTATTTCTAAGGAGGTCAAGGTTGCTTGCGTATTCTTTACAGGGCATTGCAGAACCAACCCCAACATCCCCTGGCTTGTGTGGTTTTTCCAGGCAAATTTACGTCCAGTAGTTTGCCATTGCTTTCTGGATGGTCGGCTTTCTTGATACCACTGTGGAAACAAACGCAAGGTGGGATCGAACCCGGCATTACGAAGCGATCGCATCGACTTAAACACAGAGCCGACATTTCTACAGAACACCAAGTTAAACTACCTTTCAGAATCACACTTAAATTATAACCCTATCATACTAGCACTAAACATTTCCTTAACTGTCGCTACCTGTCCGAACGCAAACAACTAAGAAAAAACTGGCTGTCAAAAACAAGACGTTACACTCCAGGTCTCTGGCCAACCCCCCCCCCCCCCCCCCAAAAAAAAAAAAAAAAAACCCCGTTAACTCTGTTTTGTCCAGTCAACCACTAATCGCCAGAGTCCATAAGACCCTCGTTTATTGTGGAGTCTTTATCTGCCCGTCACGTAGTGTTTGTTGGAGTCTCTGTGGACTGTTGAACGCGTAGTAGCTAATCGGTCATCCAAGTGCTAGTCTTTCATTCACCATCTACAGTCGTTATATAGCCACACAGGCACTTAACATGCTACAGACTGAAAGTGGAGGTCTTCCATGGATTAAACCGTTGCACTGGCACTATGTGGTCAAAGAGGATTCTTCAGAAAATCTGTACACGTATCCCTGGTGACAGTTTTCCATCATCGCAAAAGAGAGTCAGCATATCCCTCCTTGCAGATGATTGTGCCAAACTTGTGGATTTTGTTGGAAAAAAAAAGATAATGTCTTTTCTTGCTCGCTATCTTCGTTTCTTGCTGTGGAAATATGGATGCATAGATGGGTGCATGGATGGGTGCATGGATAGATGCGAGGATGGATATGGACGCATGTATCCAGTAAAATATTGACTCACATTAATGGCTTGACAGGTCGAGTTGTTCAGGGAAAAATCTATTGTCCCGATAGTTTGCCCCAGGAAAGGTTATTATTGTTGCTGGCATCTGTTCATCTTTCCAGATGAGAGGGTTATCTTGTGCCATGAAGGGGTATGGGAGTCTCAGCCTATGACCATGACGAATGTGACCAGCTTGATCTGCTCAAGTTAAAACCAGCCTTCGACAGTTAGAGCATGAGATGGGTTCTCCTCACACGCTCGTCTCAACCTGTCATCACATGTATCTTGTGTGGTTCTCCTCACACGCTCGTCTCAGCCTGTCATCACATGTATCTTGTGTGGTTCTCCTCACACGCTCAAGTCTCAACCTGTCATCACATGTATCTTGTGTGGTTCTCCTCACACGCTCGTCTCAGCCTGTCATCACATGTATCTTGTGTGGTTCTCCTCACACGCTCGTCTCAGCGTGTCATCACATGTATCCTGTGTGGTTCTCCTCACACGCTCGTCTCAGCCTGTCATCACATGTATCTTGTGTGGTTCTCCTCACACGCTCGTCTGAAACTATCATCGCATGTATCTTGTGTGGTTCTCCTCACACGTTCGTCTGAACCTGTCATCACATGTATCTTGTGTGGTTCTCCTCACACGCTCAAGTCTCAACCTGTCATCGCATGTATCTTGTGTGGTTCTCCTCACACGCTCGTCTGAACCTGTCATCACATGTATCTTGTGTGGTTCTCCTCACACGCTCAAGTCTCAACCTATCATCACATGTATCTTGTATGGTTCTTCTCACACGATCAAGTCTCAACCTATCATCACATGTATCTTGTATGGTTCTCCTCACACGATTAAGTCTCAACCTGTCATCACATGTATCTTGTGTAGTTCTCCTCACACGCTCGTCTCAGCCTGTCATCACATGTATCTTGTGTGGTTCTCCTCACACGCTCGTCTGAACCTATCATCACATGTATCTTGTATGGTTCTCCTCACACGCTCGTCTGAACCTATCATCACATGTATCTTGTGTGGTTCTCCTCACATACTCGTCTGAACCTATCATCACATGTATCTTGTATGGTTCTCCTCACACGATCAAGTCTCAACCTGTCATCACATGTATCTTGTGTGGTTCTCCTCACACGCTCGTCTCAACTTGTCATCACATGTATCTTGTGTGGTTCTCCTCACACGCTCGTCTCAACCTATCATCACATGTATCTTGTGTGGTTCTCCTCACACGCTCGTCTTAGCCTGTCATCACATGTGTCTTGTGTGGTTCTCCTCACACGCTCGTCTCAGCCTGTCATCACATGTATCTTGTGTGGTTCTCCTCACACGCTCGTCTCAACCTATCATCACATGTATCTTGTGTGGTTCTCCTCACACGCTCGTCTTAGCCTGTCATCACATGTATCTTGTGTGGTTCTCCTCACACGCTCAAGTCTCAACCTGTCATCCCATGTATCTTGTGTGGTTCTCCTCACACGCTCGTCTCAGCCTGTCATCACATGTATCTTGTGTGGTTCTCCTCACACGCTCGTCTCAACCTGTCATCACATGTATCTTGTGTGGTTCTCCTCACACGCTCGTCTCAGCCTGTCATCACATGTATCTTGTGTGGTTCTCCTCACACGCTCGTCTCAGCCTGTCATCACATGTATCTTGTGTGGTTCTCCTCACACGCTCGTCTCAACCTGTCATCACATTATCTTGTGTGGTTCTCCTCACACGCTCAAGTCTCAACCTGTCATCGCATGTATCTTGTGTGGTTCTCCTCACACGCTCAAGTCTGAACCTATCATCACATGTATCTTGTATGGTTCTCCTTACACGATCAAGTCTGAACCTGTCATCACATTATCTTGTGTCGTTCTCCTTACATGCTCAAGTCTGAACTTTGTTTAACCACAGACGAGAACTGTCTGAATTTCTTCAAGGACACCAACTACCAATGGAACGACAGTCCATGCGACCAGGCCTCCTACTTCCTCTGTGAGACTCCGTGAGTATGAGCACCTCGTCGGGATAACACTCATAATCGGGCGGGGTGGAGGGGGGGGGGTGACTGCCTGTATAACACACACAGTTGGGATGACAACCGGGATAACACACATAGTTGGGGAGACAACCGAGATAACACACATAGTTGGGGTGACAACCGAGATAACACACATAGTTGGGGTGATAACCGAGATAACACAAATAGTTGGGGTGACAACCGAGATAACACACACAGTTCGGGTGACAACCGAGATAACACACATAGTTGGGATGACAACCGAGATAACACACATAGTTGAGGTGACAACCGAGATAACACACTTAGTTGAGGTGACAACCGGGATAACACACATAGTTGTGGTGACAACCGAGAAAACACACATAGTTGAGGTGACAACCGAGATAACACACATAGTTGAGGTGACAACCGAGATAACACACATAGTTGAGGTGACAACCGAGATAACACACATAGTTGAGGTGACAACCGAGATAACACACATAGTTGAGGTGACAACCGAGATAACACACATAGTTGAGGTGACAACCGAGATAACACACATAGTTGAGGTGACAACCGAGATAACACACATAGTTGAGGTGACAACCGAGATAACACACATAGTTGAGGTGACAACCGAGATAACACACATAGTTGGGGAGACAACCGAGATAACACACATAGTTGGGGTGACAACCGAGATAACACACATAGTTGAGATGACAACCGAGATAACACACTTAGTTGAGGTGACAACCGGGATAACACACATAGTTGTGGTGACAACCGAGATAACACACATAGTTGAGGTGACAACCGAGATAACACACATAGTTGAGGTGACAACCGAGATAACACACATAGTTGAGGTGACAACCGAGATAACACACATAGTTGAGGTGACAACCGAGATAACACACATAGTTGAGGTGACAACCGAGATAACACACATAGTTGAGGTGACAACCGAGATAACACACATAGTTGAGGTGACAACCGAGATAACACACATAGTTGAGGTGACAACCGAGATAAACACACATAGTTGAGGTGACAACCGAGATAACACACATAGTTGAGGTGACAACCGAGATAACACACATAGTTGAGGTGACAACCGAGATAACACACATAGTTGAGGTGACAACCGAGATAACACACATAGTTGAGGTGACAACCGGGATAACACACATAGTTGAGGTGACAACCGAGATAACACACATAGTTGAGGTGACAACCGAGATAACACACATAGTTGAGGTGACAACCGAGATAACACACATAGTTGAGGTGACAACTGAGATAACACACATAGTTGAGGTGACAACTGAGATAACACACATAGTTGAGGTGACAACCGAGATAACACACATAGTTGAGGTGACAACCGAGATAACACACATAGTTGAGGTGACAACTAAGATAACACACTTAGTTGAGGTGACAACCGAGATAACACACATAGTTGAGGTGACAACCGAGATAACACACATAGTTGAGGTGACAACCGAGATAACACACATAGTTGGGGAGACAACCCGGATAGCACACACTCTTTGGTGACAGCCTGGTTAACACACACAGTATTGGGTTACAACCTCTATAACACACACAGTTGTAGTGACAACCCAAATAACACACACAGTTTTGGGTGACAACCTCTATAACTCACACAGTTGGGGTGAAAACCTGGATAACATATATTTGTGAGTGACCAGCTGGATAAAAAACATATTTGGGGTGAAAATCTGGATAACACACATAGTTTGGGATAGTCAGCTGGATAACACACATAGTTGGGGATAGTCAGCTTGATAGTACATAATTGGGTGTGACCACCTGGATAACTCACATTGTTGGTAGTGTTCAAGCTGGATAACACAGATAATTAGGGATTTCAAGCTGGATAACACAGATAATTAGTGGTGTCAAGCTGGATAACACAGATAATTAGTGGTGTCAAGCTGGATAACACAGATAATTAGGGGTGTCAAGCTGGATAACACAGATAATTAGGGGTGTCAAGCTGGATAACACAGATAATTAGGGGTGTCAAGCTGGATAACACAGATAATTAGGGGTGTCAAGCTGGATAACACAGATAATTAGGGGTGTCAAGCTGGATAACACAGATAATTAGGGGTGTCAAGCTGGATAACACAGTTAATTAGGGGTGTCAAGCTGGATAACACAGATAATTAGGGGTGTCAAGCTGGATAACACAGATAATTAGGGGTGTCAAGCTGGATAACACAGATAATTAGGGGTGTCAAGCTGGATAACATAGATAATTACGGGTGTCAAGCTGGATAACACAGATAATTAGGGGTGTCAAGCTGAATAACACAGATAATTAGGAGTGTCAAGCTGGATCACACAGATAATTAGGGGTGTCAAGCTGGATAACACAGATAATTAGGGGTGTCAAGCTGGATAACACAGATAATAGGGGTGTCAAGCTGGATAACACAGATAATTAGGGGTGTCAAGCTGGATAACATAGATAATTACGGGTGTCAAGCTGGATAACACAGATAATTAGGGGTGTCAAGCTGAATAACACAGAGTGTCAATTCACACAGATAATTAGTGGTGTCAAGCTGGATAACACAGATAATTAGGGGTGTCAAGCTGGATAACACAGATAATTAGGGGTGTCAAGCTGGATAACACAGATAATTAGGGGTGTCAAGCTGGATAACACAGATAATTAGGGGTTTCAAGCTGGATAACAGTTAGGGGAGAACATTTTGTTAACACAGAGAATTAGAACTCATCGGGGACTAATCAATCTCTGGTGCTAAGATACCTTTTACCATGGTGTGCACGATGTAAAGTAGTCTTTGACAAACATTTGAAATGTTTGGAACGAAAAAGTTAGAAACAAGAGTTAGTGAATGGAATACTACCCTATAGTACCCTTGGTTTGATGTATAAGTTACCAGAATGCAACTAATATATACATTGTTTTTGTAAAAAAAAAAACTTTTTGTCATTTTGTTTTATTGACTGTTATTGGTCGATCGATTGATTAATTTAGTTGATTTAAAGGCGGTTGATTGCAAGTTCATCTAGATTGGATGGTATGTCCCTCAGAGAAGATATCCGTGTCATCCCAACTGTTTCCAACAGGTCTTGAAGTTGCTGGGTGTTTACAAGAAGCACTGATTGTGAATTCACTTCCGTTTGTCTCTTTGTGTCATCGTTTTTTCTATTTCTACAAGTGACGCTAGTGAAACAAATCTAAGATTTGTTCTTTAAATAACAAGTCTAATGTGTACTCCAAGTCCACTGTCCAGTGTTGAGTTTTACCAGCTACTGCTATCGAAGTCAGAACATCATTTTTTTTTTCTAAATGTATTTTATGCAGACTTTTGCGTGGGCAGTTATTGTTTATTTTTGTTTTTGACTGACTGACTGACTCTCCACCCCACCAGGACATCACACAAGCGATAAACACCCGATGACACAAAGTGCCACCATGCGGATGAGGATCACCGTGGAGAGGTCCCAGAAACCGCGTTCAGACAATTGACCATATTGATGGCCTGCCCATATTGCGGCCCCTGGCAAAAGCCAGAGTGGGGCTTCAAATAACAAAAAATTACGTCCTAAGAAGGGCGTAAAGCATATATCAGTGACATTTTGTTTTTTCTTTCTAGAAAATATATTAAGCAAACGAAAAGTGAAACAAAAAAACTTCACATAATCACAAACACAAACAAGAAGTGAACTTTGCGGAGAGCCTTCATCGGTAGACTTTCGTAAACAAGCAATTATAAACATAAAAGGACTTAGCTGACGCATTCCTGATAGATGTCACATTTCTGACCAGCCAGCGGAATGAAAGATATTTATGGCCGCTTAGAATGCACACTACACTGAAACCACAAAGGGCCTTAACTCTAAGATATTTATACAAAACTGTGTTAAAAGTTTAGTCCCCTAGATGAAGTGGCGTTAGTGAGAAACAATGCTGTTCTCGAGAGAGTTATGAACTCTGTCACAGACGTTCTGTCACAAACGTTCTGTCCCAGACGTTCTTTCCCAGGGGTGTTGTCCCAGATTTTTTGTTACAGACGTTCTGTCACAGACGTTCGGTCACAGACATTCTGTCAGAAAGGTTCTACACATCCAGAAGATGTTGCCAGAACCTGCAAGCTAGCCCAAGTCTCATGTCACCAAATATTTCATTCTAAATCTGTTGCAGATGATAGGGTAAATAACACTGCGGCTCCTGCAGCTGCGGTAGAATGTTTCAGGTATGCGAAAGGTGGCGTTAGAGAAATCCTGACTGCTCGCAAGGAACATATTCAAACATATCTTGCATACTGGTCTATGACAAGAGATCGTGGCCAAGCGGGACTCAGAGGTGGAAGGTAACCGACTCTTGACCAGAACTTCCTTGAGGCTAATGTCCACTAGGGGAAGCAGAGCAAATTGTGCTAGTTTCGGGGTCAGCTTGTTGGACAGAGACCTGCCGGAGAAGAATGATTTTGGCACGAATGGATAGATCTGTCGTGGTGATGTTAGGCTTTCAAGTGAGGCCCTCAGTGCGACCGATAGACCTTTATCAGTGGAAAGCAGCAGATAAGATGTAATCAGGGTAGCTACGAAAGCGGATACATTCCAGCATTTCTATGTTTGAATAGGGTCTACGAAGGTGTATAAGCTGCGAGTAAGAACGAAAGAAAACATGAATGAAAAAAGAAAGACAGAAAGAAAGAAAAAAGGAAAGGAAAAAGAGAAGAAGAAAAAAGAAAGAAAGAAAGAAAGAAAAAAAGAAAGAAAGAAAGAAAGAAAGAAAGAAAGAAAGAAAGAAAGAAAGAAAGAAAGAAAGAAAGAAAGAAAGAAAGAAAGAAAGAAAGAAAGAAAGAAAGAAAGAAAGAAAGAAAGAAAGAAAGAAAGAAAGAAAGAAAGAACACATTTTCTAATTAATGTTTTATTGTGTGTGTCTGTTTTTTATTTATTTATTGCAGGCCCCTAGAGCAGATTGTTGGTTGAAGTATCTTGAGCTGGACAGCTGGACATGAGCCCATCAACTCAACCATGACTGGTCAACTCAACCATAACTGGTAACACACCAGACAATAAACTAATTCCTATGCTCAAGTCTCCGTGTCTGGTCAGCGAGAGATTAGTGGTCATCTCAAGTGTGCGTTTCCTACAACTTCTCCCTTCCTTTTATTCGTCAATCTTTCTTCCCTTTCTTCTTTTCTCTTCCATTTCTTTTTCTTCTGTCTAGCTTCAATTTCTTCTTCTTTTTTCCCATTCTTCTTCTTCTTCTTTTCCTTTCTTCTTTCCCATCTCCTTTATTCATTTCCATTCCCTTTTTTCTTCTAAGTCCCATTTTTTTTTCTTTTCACTTCCCTTTCTTATTCTTATTTCCCGTTTTCTTCTCCCTTTCCTCTGTGACAGAACGTTTGTGACAGAGCGTCTGTGACAGAACATCTGTGACAGAAAGTCTGTGACAGAACATCTGTGACAGAAAGTCTGTGAATGAGTTCATAGCTCTCTCGAGAACAGCATTATTTTTCTCACTAGTGCCACCTCACCCAAGGGACTTTGTGTCTGGTAGTCTGGTAGTCTTAGTTTCAGCTTCATAGCAAACGGGTCACCCCATCTTTGCTCCGCTCCTGTGCCAACGAAAAACACACAGAATGTTTATCACAGTATTAGAATTGCAGTTCATCATTGATGGTAGCAGAAGTGTGTGTGTGTGTGTGTGCTGTGTGTGAGGTGCGCTAGGGGGGGGGGGGGAATGCGCTAGTGTGTGCATGCTTTTGTACCACCCATGCTTTTGTGTATTTATTTAAAATGTTTTCACCCTTGATATTCATAATATGCATATTATCACACGAATAGAACATGCTTACTGATTAAATACAACTGCAGTGTAAAAGACGTGTGTTTCGAAGGGCCGAATGTAAGTTGGGCGTGCGTGCCCAATTTGTGACCCTTAGAAAATAAAGTTCATTCGTTCGTTCCCCTTTCTTTTCCTTTTCCTTTCCTTTCTTCTTCTCCCTTCGCCTCCTTCTTCTCACTTCCCTTTCTTCTTCTACCATTCCTTTCTTCTTCTATTTACCTCTTTTTCTTCGTCCTTCCCTTTCTTCTCATCTCTGCCCATTTCTTTTCATTTCCTTCTCCTGTCTTCTTCTTCCTTTCCTTTCTTCTTCTCTTTTCTCTTTATTCTTCTCCCGTTCCTTTTCTTCTTCGTCCTTCCCTTTCTCCTTCTATCACGTTCTTCTTCTCCCTTTCCTTTCCTCTTCTTTCTTCCCTTTCTTCTGCCCCTTCCCCTTCTCCCTTCATTTTTCCTTCTCCATCACTTTATTCCTTATTCACTTTTATTTTCTCCATTCCCTTTCTTCTTCTCTATTCCTTTCCTTCTTATGCCTTGTTTTTCTTTCTTCCGTTTCTTCATTTTCTTTCTGCTTTCCTATTCTTCCCTCCCTTTCTTTTAACCCTTCCTTTTCTTTTTCTCCATTCCCTTTCTTTTTCTCTATTCCTTTTCTTCTTATGCCTTCCGTTTGTGTTTCTTTCTCCCCTTTCTTCCTTTTATTCATTTCTTCCTGCTTTCTTCTCCTTCGTCCCCTTTCTTCTTAACCCTTCCCTTTCTTCTTCTCCCTTTCCTTTCGCCTTTTCCCTTTCCTTTCTT